GTAGACAGTAGCAGCGTTGTTGACATGAGATGTGTGTGTGCTGACGATGAATAATCGATCGCTTTAAGAAGAAGACGACGAATAAGCCTATAGCTCGGTTGGTTGCTGGATAATCAAAGCCACTAGCTAGCTTTAAACACGCCACATTGAAAGTTTTAAGTTAACAATTCAATTTATCACCATGCGTTTTATGCGTTCCAAATTTCGTTTCGTTCCTTCACTTTTATGCACCTTCTTCTATCATGTAATCATGCAGTACCTTGCGAGTGGGTAGAATTTTGCTTCGAAACCGTAACAGTGAGCGGAGCCGAGGCAAAAATTGCCTGGTAGGACCAAGGATCGCCATGTTACAGTAACATTTATCGGGAAAAAGCAAGCATACACTGTGGAAGCGTCTGGTCCGGCTTAACGGTTCTTGGCCTTGCCCGTCAATTATTACGTTGATCCGGCTGCACGCGGCTGGTCTTGGCCGAACTCGGCAACTGCGCACTCTCTGATTTGTTTTGTTACGTTTCATTTAATACCGTCCAGATTATTAATTCAGAAATTCAAAGGAGTTGGCTGTTGTGTAACGAATGGGTACAACAAACGCTTTGTCATCGAATTCAGAAATGTTGGGTGCAGCCACTGAAAGTCTCGCTAGTGGAACAGCAGGTAATCGGACCTCATTCAACAACAATACAGACGATAATGAAGATGTGGAGGATCGAAAAACAACGTTAAAGGTAAATTTGTTTTAATTTCTCATTTTTCACTTTTCAACTTATTGAGTGCCCAGTCAGTATTGAGTTGTAGAATTGCTTGTAAATTCCTGCTTGCGTATGTTCTCTTTGGTATTACTGGAGCATAACAAAGTTTGAAAATCTCTGCGCCTATTCGCAGAGCTGATCATGCGTGAGGGAGTTTCCTACAAGGAAAATCTAATGGCCGTAACTGAAGTAGCCTGACGTTTCTCGCAAATCGGTGATGCTCAAAAAATTAAGCATTCAAAAAACTGTCGACGTAGCAATCAGTCAGGGACCGCTCAATTTGAAAGAAACATTTCCGTAGTCGTTTATTTATTCGTGCTGTTTTCTGATTTTTCAACAATTTAACTTTGTTCCTTCTTTAAAATTCTCTTCGGAGCCATTAATAATTCTCCGATTGTTTTTGCTCGTAATCATTTGTGCGTGCGTGTGAAATTATGAAGATAACGTGAGTTGTGTTGTGTCAACTGTTCGAATGCCTTTTTAAAGCTTTTTCCATTACATCGACATTCGAGACGGAATAGGCGGAGAGCTTCGACCCAATAAACTTTTATACGATTTCATCCGGTATGAAATTTGAAACTGAATCAGTAACGTTCCTTGTTGAATGTTTGAGCAAGAGATTTTTCTTAGTGGGGTTTTGGTATTTCATTTTTTGTTTAACCAGCAAGCAGTCACAATAATACAAATAACCAATTCAATGCTATAGTCAAATAACCATGCTCTATGATATCCAGTGAAATACTCCGCATTCTGAATCGTTGTAATAATCGCATCGTTACGTACACATATCAGTCAGCCAGCTCTCTAACAATGGTATTGTTTGAACATATGCGCTTGTATGTAATGTCCCAGTTATTGTAGACAGTACCGGAAGCGATCACTAGAAAATCTCAATATTTGAAAACAGTATCGTGCTATCGCTGTTCCGCTAGTAACGTAAAAGCGCGCTATTGCCCATCTCTGATTGTTATGATGTTATTATTGGTAAATGAATATGCATAGCGATATACTTCAATTTAGCGAATATGTCGATCATTTGATAAACCAACCATAGTAGTTGCCCAGCGAAACAAGCAGCATGTGATCAGAACTGACTCATGCAGCTGAATTATTATTAATATATTCATTATTATCATTATTGTTTATTTGTCACTTGACACTTGTTTGTGAACGTCAAAAAGTAGATTAGAGCATTACGCCTCTCGATAACACTAGTGATGACGATGCTTATTCCATTCATTATTGGTATCGAATGAGCATGTTCAGATGGTATTGTTGTCATAATATCTATACATACAACTGAGCATAGTGTGTGTGTGTTATTGCTATTATTATTACTATCATCATTATCAGTATTCTTTTTTCTTCACTGCTAATGCAGTTCATGGTAAGCCTCTGTTCAGCGTTGCGAGATCCACACTGCAGTGATGATGATTATATTAAATTTAAGGTAATCATATCTGCTTCTGTATTATGTACTCGTGTATATCCATCAGTCACTTTAGGATGAAGTTATTCCCGAGATGCTTTCTTCTAGATGCTAAACCCTTCATTACCTAGATAAAGTGACTATCTATCCATCCGAACTAATAAATGATGGATAATTCAGAAGCAAAAACGTCAATATAAAGATGAAAAGAAACGAGTGGCACAAGAGTTGTTGGCCTCATTACGTGATCCGACCGTAGTGGTTATGGCTGATTGGCTCAAAGTTCGTGGCACGTTAAAAAAATGGAATCGTTATTACTGTGTGCTAAAACCCGGACTGATGCTCATCTATAAGAGTAATAAAATTGAAAAGGTGATCTTTGCTGCATATAAAGTGGATACGAACATTATTATTTGTGTGTATTGCAGTCAGGACATTGGGTTGGTACGATCCTGCTTAATACATGTGAACTCATTGAACGTCCGTCAAAAAAACTTGGATTTTGTTTCAAATTATATCATCCACTGGATCAAAGTATTTGGGCGACTCCTGGACCATTAGGTGAAAGTCATGGAGCACCCACCCTACAGCCTCTGCCGACAGCTCATCTCATTTGTCGTGCTCCATCTGAACAGGTTGCCTGATAGTTGATTTTGTTCATCGATTATTTTTGATGATATATTCAGGCTGGCGGTTGTTGGATGGACGCGCTCAGTCTAACATTGCGTTGCAGTGGTTTATTGATGCGAACAATGCATAGGGTATTTCTAAACCTTTTTATTTTACTGATATTGTTATCATCGTCATATGTATTTAGTTTCAGTTATCCGATAAACGAGAAGAAGGAGGAATAACTCAGAAGGACTCAGATTCGGTTAATGAAATAATTGATGCAGATGCCCTCGAAGTATCAGCGCCACCTGAAGTGGTCATTTCAGAAACGGAAGCTGAGAAACATTTCGATGGTAAAATTTTTATGATGTTACTGTCATTGTTATTCTTGTGCATTACTTTTGCTTTAAGGTTTGGATGATGATAACGATAATGACAATAATTTGCCATCAGAAAATGATGCAGTTACGGTTGAAATGGAAAAAGGCAGTACCTACAAACAGTCTGAGCCTGAACAGGTTATTCTTTGGTTCTGTCTAACGCTTTGTTCAGTTCAAACTGAACTTTTCATTATCGTCAATGAAAGTTTTAGTTAGGTGCGTTAATGGATAGTGTTCAAACAGAGGATATGGGTGATGAAAATAAAAGTTTGGTATGGAGTTTATTGAAGCAAGTACGTCCTGGTATGGATCTATCGAAAGTGACTCTGCCAACGTTTATACTTGAACCACGATCGTTTCTTGAGAAATTGGCTGATTTTTATTATCATGTCGATTTATTGAAAGAGTTTGTTGATTTGTTAATTATCATTTCTTGCTTATTCAACGATTTGAAATGGCATTTGATAGTGATGAGTGATTTAGTGCGGCAGCAGAGGACGATCCACTGGAGAGAATGACAAAAGTGATTAAATTCTATCTGAGTGGTTTCTATAAGAAGCCAAAAGGTTTGAAGAAGCCATACAATCCAATATTGGGTGAAGTATTTCGTTGCAAATGGCAACATCCTGATGGTTCGACGACATTTTATGTAGCTGAACAGGTTGGAGTTGTTATTATTATCATTATTTTTGTTACCAATATATTTTTATCTATAATACTATAATTCTACTTATCAATAGTATTAATATAATTACTCTCATTGCTGTTATTATTTACTGTCACTATTCTTGGTATTATTACAATTGTTGTTGATAGTTATTATTATATGTAAGTCGACGCATGTAGCTGGTTGGAAATTTGCTTCATAATTGTTGAAATTAAATTAAATTGGAGGTTTCGCATCATCCGCCAATTTCATCAATTTTCGTCACAAATCGCCGTGCTGGTTTCAATATCTCGGGAACAATTTTAGCAAAGAGTAAATATTATGGCAATAGTTTATCAGCAATGATGCTTGGATCAATTCGGATTGTTTTATTGGCTCGTGGTGAGACGTATACGGTAACGTTACCATATGCCAATTGCAAAGGTATCATGATTGGTACACTCTCGATGGAATACGGTGGACAGGTTTATTATTAATGCTTTTGCACATTCTTATAAATAACCTAAGCACTTATTTATGCTGCCATTTCAGGTGAAAATAGAATGCAATCGAACCGCGTACGAATGTACGATTGATTTCAAATTGAAACCGTTTTTGGGGGGAACAATGAACGTTATTAATGGCAGTATTAAACTCGGTAAAGAAGTTTTAACGCAAATCAGTGGTACATGGGATGGTGAAATTAGTACAGTGCAGCCACAAAATGTATGTTGTTCAGTTATTTAATCAAGAGTGATATCAGTAAACGATCAGTTTGGAAACTAAATTTTCAATCGTTTTGATGCCGATATTGTTGTTATTGTTATTATAGTTATCATCATTATTATTATAATTGATTAAAAACAATAATGATATCAGTCTGATATTGCGAATAATAGTTAAAGCCTAGTAAAAATGAACATTTAAAGGGCAAAAAGAGTATTTTGTGGGCGCCAACAAAAGAGGTAATCAAACAACGTTTACAACGATATGAAATTCCATTGGAGACGCAGGGAGAGTGGGAATCAAAAAAGTATGAAATATTTATTTTAAATGATCACTTCAATTGATGTATAATTATTTGTTTCATCTTTATGTTTGTTATCTTCATCATAATAGGTTGCTTGTTCATTGTGTGATGTAATGAAATTAAGATTGTGGCTGAAGGTAAGTGAAGCGATAGCGAACGACGATCAACAAGCAGCCACAGAAGAGAAGACGATATTGGAGGATGCGCAACGCGCTCGTGCTAAAGCAAATCAGCATTATGAGCCAAAACTTTTCAGATTTGATTCATTAAGCAAGACTTATGAATATCTTTATGCTGAGTGAGTGTTTTTCATCAATTCGTTTATTTATTTGTTCGTTTATTTAGTGGTTTATTGAATGTTGAAGTTATCTTTCATGCAGTTATCGTCCATGGGATACGCATAATGACGTGAAGCAAGTTGAGTTTGATTTTATAATTCGTACAACCACAAAACACGGTACATTTGCACGCTCAACTGAACCGATAGCATCAAAGCCAAATTCGAAACAGTCGTCATCAATTCAACCAGAGGATCGATCTGATGATTCGGAATCCACGATTGGTTGGTGGCATTTTGACTTTAAAATTATTGTTGTTGCCATCATTTTTATTATGAATATTTTGATCGTTTCAGCATCTAATCATCATCGAAGACGTAGTAAAAAGCGGCCCATGATTGGTGCAGGTGTTGCTGGAGCAGTAGGATATGATGACGATAGATTGCAACAAATTCAGGTTGATTGTTATTGTTGATTATTATTTATTGTTGTGGTGCTTATTTGTTATTATTATTATTATTTTATAGGATACACTCGATCGGTCAATTCAAGTTTTGAAGCGTCTAGAAAATCGCATTGACGATAATGAGAACACCATCTCGAAACGGTTTCTAATTACATTCGCTGTAATGACCATTTTACAGTCGTTGTTATTACCGTGGCTGTTCAGTTTCCGAAGTTGATTGTGTTATTAGCAGTTATGTATTATTATGTATTATTATTATTAATGTTATTAATAATATTATTGCTATTGTTTTACTAATGATTAATATTGATATTATTCATATTGGAGTTGTATCTAATCTTACCTTGTGAGAACCATCTCATGGTTAAGTTGCATTCGATTGAGCATTATTTTTGCGAATAAATGTGGTAGCTTTCCTTCTCCTGGTAAAAACTTTTTTGTCCGATTCCGATCTATTATTTGTAGTAGTTCCATCTTAACGTTTTCGTTTTATTAATCAATTCATTTAAATTATTATCTTGGTCGCTTTAATCCCGGTGTAAAGCATTTGTAGACTTTTGATTCGATTATATGTTAAACGGTCATTCAAGTTATTTATTTATATGTTCACGTTTATTTATTTAATTATTCATTCAATATTGCGGTCTGTTTGTAGTATTGTTGTGTGTGTGTCGGATGTGATTATGATCAGTGATTGTATGAGAAGAGCACTGTCGTTTTTGTCAGGAAATATGTCAAGAATGTGATCGCTTAGTGGTTCACTGGAAATTGATTAGTGGTATTGTTTGGTTTTGTTGTACCATTCGTCGTATATTTATTATTTTATTACTATAATTATTTTTATGATCGTTATTAATATTGATTGGTTCTATCTGATCATATCATATTCGCTTTACAGAATGGAAAGTATCTGATCAATAAAGTTCTTACTTAGTGTTTCGGTTGAATATCAATTGTTGACCGTCATGTGTGATGTTTATTTCATCAGGCGTCGTGTTCGTAGTAAAGATTTCATTCATAATCTCACAATGAACCGGCATTCTATCGTCGTAGAATGTATGTGATCGCATCTTTGATTTTCACATCGTTTGATATTTAGTTCACGAAACCAATTGGATTCCTTCATTCGAATGTGGCAGTTCATTAACTCAAGGTCTTTACATTAGTGAGTAGTTTGTTAAGAGATGATTTTTAGCCTGGGAATGCGACAATGTAGAATCGTGATGAATCGGAAGCGTGTCAGTGTTCTTAGGCTGTTAGAGAGAATTGCAGCAAATTTGAATGAAAGAAGTGTGCAACTATTGCACGATCGTTGCAAGAGCCTATCGCTCGTTGCACGTCTCGATGCGTTGCGTTACTATAGAAATACGTAAACATAGGTGCGGTGGATTTTACGGCTAGGGTTTCGGCCGTAACATTGTGTCATGGAGGAGCATATGTGTGACAGTTGAGATGTTCGGGTGGGAATGAGGGGTGATGAGAATGTGGTGAATATAAGTGAAATACTTTCATATACCTATGAATAAATTTGATGCGGACGCAGCCAGCTGAAACATATCAGAAGACAAACCTCTTAGGATTGCAAGATGTTTTCTGCTTCAAGAAGAAAATTACTTTCAGATCACATAACATACTATGCGTGATAGCTGATAGTATTGTTAGTGGAACAACGGTGGCAAGACAGCTGTCATCGGTAAAAGATCTAATTGTCAATAATAGCTGATAATAACCAGCCGTCTTCATTATTATCAGAAAAATCTCGTGAATTGTAATAATATCAATTGATTTATATCAACACTAATAATATGTTGAATGGACAAAGAGCCAAAAATATCTCATTGTCGATTTGCGATTCTGCATCAGGTATTACCGATAAGGATAATGATGAACCTCATCAACCTGAAGTAAGTGGCAGTTGAGTTCGGTTTCAGCAATTCTTTATTTTTCATTTTCTGCGTTCATTGCATTCAATCTGTTGACGGACGCCACCGCGCCATCACAGATGCTCGTGTGCTCATACGCTTCAAAAATAAGCCGGAGCCTATGCGTTATCACTGGGCTTAGCGTAAGTCTGAGCTTAAGCATGCTCCTGATTTGACTTCGAGTTGCATATCTACACATGTGACGAAGTGGTAACCTAAGCACGTGTGTGCTGTGGCGTCCACTCGCAGCAAAAGTGCCATTTCTTACAATGTTGTCTAGCCGTATTATGCCTTCCTTTAAATAACATTGTAATTTTTCCAATCATTCCCTCTGATCACGTGCTTTGATCACTTTTTATTCTACATGTGAGACCCGATGAAAATGAAAATGAGCAGTTATTTAGGTAGGTGCCTAATCCATTTGCATCTAGCTATAATGAATTCGAGCGAATGAGAGAATTAGATAAATCATAAATTCAGCAAAATTTATTACAGCGGTTATTGAAGGGTTCAGCATAATTAGTCGTCTCAAAATGTGTTTCTATTTAGAATGAAGAAGAGCAGTGTTGCTCCACAGTAATGGATGAAATGGAGAAGAAGTATCTGTGTGATGAGGATTTTGATGCGGGTATTCTTCTCCATTCAATGGTGCGTATTTCAAACTGTAGTTAATTTGGTTTTATGATACGCTTATTGTAACTGACGTATTGAACCGATTCAGTTTGTTCTTCCATTCCACCAAAGCAGTTCGATTTTCTGTTTTGCAGTTTTTCCGACAGATCGAATACATCAAATTTCAGACTGGTACAAGTCCCTGCAAACTCGCAATCGAAAAAGGTCTTCGATTGGTTGTGCTGAATGACAAACGTATCAGTCGTGTTGGCGATAACACGCGTTTGCTTTCATTGGCTGAAAATGTTACTGAGGTTGGCAATGGTTGTTAGTGTTAAAGTCAATTTTACGATTATCGGTCTATAGGAAGTATGGAGCTGTAGCCCATCTGTAGACTTTAACAACGGTCATTAAACATTTATTGACGAATGGCGGTGGTGATAAACATGAAATTGTTTTGTTGTTTATTTGAAGGCAGATTTCGCTTGGAACAATTTGTCGGAATGGAGCGAAATTGGGACGCTTTTGAAATTACCGAATTTACGAGTATTTAATTTGAGTCATAATCCACTGAATAATCAATTAGAAGCAAACCAGTTGCCGGTAGCACCTTTACTGCAAACATTGATTATCAACGGTACGAACTTATCGTTAAAAACAATGCGTCATTTGCTTGAATCTACACCTGCATTGTCTGAATTACATCTTTCGGAGAACAGGTTTTTTGTTTATGCTTTCTTTTGCAACATTGTTTTTATTATTACCATTATTATAGTTGATGTTTTCGTGGTCGTTATTATAATCTTTTTTTTTTTAGATTGATAGAAGAAAATACTGATGAAGAGTGCAACGAAGCGCTGTCGCTATCAGTTGAAACGGTACATGTAAATAGATGTAATATAAAACGTTGGGAAACTATTATGTTCTTGCGAGAACTACTACCACGGTGTAATTCAATGTTTATCGCTGACAATCCAATCAGAACAACTTATGTGAATTCACGAGTGAGTTTTCTAGTTGAATGTTTCTCGGTTCGTTAATTTTTTTGATAAAGTGTTTGATGTGCAGATGGTAATAACATGACAATATGATAACAATAGTGATAAAAAGAAGGTACATAACGGGATGGCGATGAGTGGTATAAATCAATTGAATATGAATAAATGCTTGCTGGACGAGTGGATGTCGATTGAGGCGTTAGCCGAAATTAGTACGCTGCGTGATCTGCGAATAGCACATAATCCGTTGCTGGCACAGTTGAGTGTCGAGGAAAAAATGCATTTGATAATTGCGAGAATGCCGTTGTTGGAGATCTTGAATGGATCAGCAATTACCGATGAACAACGCGAAAAATCTGAACGTTTCTTCATTCGGTGAGTTATTATTGCTCATTTTTTGTTCGTTTATTAATTGATTCATCCATTGAACGAGAATGAACCAGTGAATAAGTATGTGATGCTGCAGATATTATGATGAATGTGAAATGAAACCACCAATTTTCGAGAAGTTAGTGGCTCGACACGGTAAATTGGAACAGTTGTGTAAAGTGGATTTAAGTCCGAGAAAGTACGCGAACGTTACGGCACTTTGTGAAGAGACTGGGTATGTTCTCAGTACATCTTATTATGTGTTATTATTATGATTTTGAAACGTCCACTAATGATATTGTCTCATGAATTCCTTTTGTAGATTCCGAGCGAATGTGAAAATTAATTTGGACCATTCAGTTGGTTCATTGATGCGTACCTTAGAGAAGCATACCGGTATTCCGATTGTGCGGATGCGACTCTTTTTGCTTAGTTCCATTTCGCCTTTTTCTGAGGAGTTGCGATTTCCGAATCAGAGACTGTCATCGTTACGAATCGATGATGGTGATCAATTTCTTATTCAGGTTCGTTCATTTGTTTATTTTTGTCACTGTTTTGTAAGAAGAAACAGTTGTAATGTTAAAACGAACAAGGAAGTTTGTTTCAGTCAAAAATCGTTGTGAATCGAAAGAAGCCAACCGCAGTGAAGAAATGATAATAGTAGTAAATACCTGGATTGTCCGGATTGGTTAGGCTGTGCAACGTTTGCAACGTTGCCGGCCGCGATGCATTTCCTTTCGCATTGTTTAAGCGTTAATTAACGTCACATCGCTGACTAGATGAGCAAAGCCGGCCAACCAAACACAGCCACCAACCAATTGTCGTAATATTTTGCATAATTAAACGTAGGGTGCAGTTAACAATCGTGGCTTTAACAAACATTTTACCGATCGGCAAAAGAAACACTCACTGTTCAAGTAGCAATAATAATAATTGTAATGATAATAATAATGAAATATGGGACTATAGATAAATGAATGTAGCAGTGTGTGGTATCAATGGTTCAATTTTTCAGTATTGTCCTTTATTCATTTTTCTTTTTTTTGTGCAACATACAACGTTTTCAGGTGATATTTGTTTTTGCCTAAGCCAGTTTATACAATTGTGATGTTATTAATAATAACGCTGCTATAGATTGATAGTGATGAAAGTGTGTGTTTACGTTTTATGCATAACGAGAAGGCAACAAGCATCTGCTGTGTTCGATAGCGCAGTGATTGAGCTGAATTTAATTCTGTACTGCTGTGAATGTAATTTTGTTGTGCTACCGTGAATTTTGTCAAATAATATGCGTAAGTTTTGTGTATATCAAACGAACACTGTTTATGATTAATTCTGATGATCCGTTTATAGCTACCTAAACAATACCATCATCATTATGCTGTTTACCATCATCTTTTTGTCATTATCATTCAAGGAAATCGCATCGGTCTTTGAAAAGTTACTTCAAAATTTTATTTGTCTGCGTATCTAATTATGTTTTTATCGATTCGATCACGAACGAGGAAGTTTTTGAACTAGCAGATGAGGAGCTTGGATCAGAATCTGTTTATTTGTTGTTTTCATCTTCATTGTCATTTTGCCTGCTGTTTTCATTTTCTCATATAGGGATAGATTGGATTTTTTTCGACTCGACGGGATAATCTGCTACCTCAAAAGAATTTATTACAAAAAGGTTTGGGGTTGACAAAGAAAGTTTAGTGTGGAACGTGATGAGGGAATGAATTCGACTTGTAAACGTTCTGCTCGTTGATTCGTTTGGTTACTGAAGATATTGGTTGATTTGTGTACTGCTGAGGAAGCAGCTGATAGCAGGGCTGGCTGGTGGTCTGATGTATATCGTGAAGAAATTCTTAAGTGGTGACTGGCGCATGAAGCGTGCAAAAAGCCCAAAAGGTTGTTGCTTACACATGCGTTTCAATTGGATTTGAAATTTTAAGTTTTGTATATCTGGAATATTACATTTTCTTGCAACCTTTATGTTATTTTTTGATTCTTTCCCTCAATTCGTAAATTATCTGTAATAATACCCAATTTATTGATGTATAGTTTTCATGTGTTTGTGTGTACATGCGTAGTACATGTAATTATGTATAAAATTAGACGCATATGCCAGTACATATTTGCCCATTCTGTATTGAACATAGTACACTTATCATATATTGCGCCTGATCGTTGTGCGCCATCGCTTATATCCATTGATCGGGTATCACCGATTAGTTTTGTGTTTGATTCAATCAATTTATTCTTTGGTTGAATCATTGGTTTGTTTTAGTTCTTACCGTAAATTTTGATGCAATTTTAATGCTTTCATCATTAGTTGTTTTGTTTTTTTGATACATGTAACTTCATTATTTTGTACCGTTCTGACTAACTGTTCAAGAGTGTTAATACTTCCATCATTATTATAATTGTGTAATTATGATTTTCAAAAAAGAATCCCGAGTTTATCTTTATTCGCTCGTCCGTGTGTATGTTCGTATGAATCATTGTATGATCTGTTTTATACATAATCAAAAATTAGCAGCAGTATTCACGTAGTTGTGTGCATAATACTTCGGCAATGATGCTTTTCAAGGAAAGAGCATTGTTTTGGACAGTTTGTTCGCACTTTTAGATTTTTTGAGTTTTCGTTTTTATTCAATTACAAAATACGTTCACATATTTTCACCATGAAATGATTGATATTTGGGTGGAGATGAGATGAAGAAAGAAAAATAATCAGTAACCGACATAATACACATGAAAATAATCATCAATCCGCGGATCAAGCAAAATCTCAACAAAAAATGTTTCGCGTAAACGGGCGATCACACCGCCACGTGGTGTCTAGCTTGAACTCGTTGTTGTCGCGCACCTGATCTAATCGTCCATATGCAGAGCAGTTTATGGGGACAAAGCTGTTTTATCAGTGTTGAAATTTTGTGTGCGTATGATTGTGAATGAATTACACATTTCTGAGTATGTTCCAAGATTGTTCGATTTTTACAGAAGTTGATTTTGTCCCAAAATTGATAATACGTAACAAAATTAGATGCATACCGAAATTATAAAAGGAAGAGGTAGGTGCAGGCATAAGAAACGGAGAGGTATTTCCATTCATCGTTTGATCTTCCCTCTACCAGAGCTCCTGAACAAAAGTGGTTTTGTAGAATCAGAAAACACATTCGAAATTGCTTGGCGATGTTCGGCAAGACGGTATGAATATGTTATATCTAGGGTTTGCACGGGATCCCGAGATCCCGGGATTACAGTTCTGATCCCGATCCCGGGATTTAAGTTTTGAAAAATCCCGGGATTTCGGGATTTGATAAAACAGATCAATTTGTGTGAATTTTGATAGTATGCCCATCTTGAAGCAAACCTTAATCATTCCCATCTAATTTATATGCAGTATCTTTGCTGTTTGCCCTCTATCATTGATGTTCAGCTAAGAAAAATAGACGCAATTCGGACGAATGACATGATCAACGACAGCTCGATGAACTTTTACGTAACATTTCATTGAATATTCAACTGATTATTCTGCTCTCCATTAGTTATATCACACTCATCTGGATAGATTTTTATGTAGACTAACAGAGATAATCACATTTTCTAATAAAAACCAAGAGGAACAAAGTTCAATGAAATTTTGAGTCGTTCCTCCCACATGATTTGTTCGGCTTCAATATTCCATCTGTTAATTCAACTGCATGTTCCAAACACTGCAAGTCTTTTTACTTCGCTATTTGGAAACATTTTCATCCGATCGAAATGTACTTAAATCCTCACTGAGTTCACCCATAGTAAGAACTCATTGCCGAAATGAGCAAAGTTGTTCCATTCAAAAGGATCTTGAACTTGAATATCAAGTACATTTGCATGATTTTTGATCGAAATTATCGAATATGTAAGTGCTCGATGATTCGATGAAAATCCATTGCAGATGTTTTTCCATTTCTTATAGTTAGATAAACTCTAAACTTTTAATTTTTTCGAAACTCGAATGATCTAATTCATGCGATGCATTTTTTTGTAAAGAATTGAAATTTCAGAAATGGCAGAATTCTGCTGATGTTAATACTGAGAGAAAATTGACTCGAAGCATTGGAAATAAGTGTTTGAAAATCAAGAATTTCTTATTCACATGCAAGTGTACTGTTATTAGCTTAGACCGGAGATGACAAGATGCCTTAGCATAGAATATGCAGTATGCCCTTGCGGTATGATCATTGGCATCATTATATAAAATATTAATTTGAATTTGAATGCTTAGTTCCTTGGATTTGTTCAATAATTTGTTGATTTAACTCATTTCTGATTAATAATGAACATATTGATTCGAAAAAAATGTGTTTAAACATGTCTTGCATCGATACTTCAATAATTGCTCGATCCCGGGATTATCCCGGGATCAAAAATCGATCCCGGGATTAAATCCCGATCCCGATATTGGAAAATCGTCGGTATTTTGCAAACCCTAGTTATATCTCGTTGCCAGTCAGAAATATTTTCTTACGGCTTGCAGATTTGAGGTGTGGCTGTTAAATGTAAGTTAAAGCGTATAAAACAGTCCAGAGATGGGCACGCTGTTGAGAAACAATATTTACACCGTCGCTGATCCGCTGAAAAAAAGAGTAACGAACAAGCGCGCTTCTGCCCATCTCTGGATCACTCTGGTCCACGAACATCGACCGTGCGAAAGCTTGAACATAGCGTAAAGGTTGAATATTTTGATATTGCAGGAAAATAGGCGTTCTCTAGCAGACGAAAAGTAGCGACTTAGCGGAAATCGGAAAAAATTAGCTCGCCAAAACGCTGATGGGATGAAATAACTTAAGTTATTGCCACTTTATACGGCTGAAAAATTATTGTAGAAAATTTTCGCTATACGAAAATGTAGCGAGCTATCACGCTACTGAAAAAAAGTTTCTCTGACAGTAGCGGAATATTACCCACCACTACTGATAGTCATGAAAAATAATGATAGCATTGATAAAAACAGTAACACAAACAGTATCAGTGTTAATCTGAATGGTGGGAATATCAATATAATATTATGAATTCATTTCAAATCTTGAGAAAGAAAAATAAAATTAGGAGAGCAGCAAAACTTATTTAGTGGACTTGAAATAATTTTTATGAATATTGCTATTAAAATAAATACTGTTATTGTTGGTAGAGTTAATATTTTTGATATTAGATTAAATATGAATATTGTTGTCAATATCAATAAGCAGTTGATAGATGAATATTATCACTACAATATTACCATTTAACGGATCCAAATGTATAGTTCAAGTATAACTCAACTCTTCGTTATCTGCGACTGTTTATTAAGGTCAGTTCTTCGCTTTGTTCATCGATAGAGAACTGAATATTGTTTTTTGTTAGAATACATGTTAATTTTTTAGGTATTTATCATTTATAAATGTTTGGATAATTATCGCTATCATCATCACTGGCGTCGCGAGAGACTGGGGTTTTAGGTAAGATATAGATTTGGGTTGTTCCTCCTTGCATCGATTAGGATGTGAAAATATAATTGTGTGTATTCATTGTATGTATTGCATATTTTATAAAATATATCATGTTTTTTAAAATTTAATTGGTATATATGTTATTTCAGCTTTTTCAAGTTGTTGTCTCAAGTTTGAAACCCTGAAACTTCAAATATGTTAATTAATTTAATCCACGTTTCTCGAATATTTAATTTTCCAACTTTGAATATTCCGGTTGCTAATACTTTTGGCTTCCATTGAATTCTTTCCAGGATTCGGGATCTTCGAAAGCTGACTTTGGAACATTCCAAGTTTAACTTGTTCAGATCATACATATTGATAATTCTTATCGGTATTATTAACATGGCTATTGCAATTGGTATCAATAATAGTGTTATTATAAATGATATATTTTATTTTTGTGGTCATGATGACAATGATAAGGATCGTTGCAAGAGTTCTCTACCTTAATGTTGGTCAGTCGATAATTATTTATTTTTCGGTTTATTTATTCAGACAACGCATGATCCATTTAACCAGCTTAACTTTATTCATCATCAGTCCTTCATACCTAATAATTCTTCAGATGCTCATCATCTACTGAAATGCTGCTTTGAGCACCGAAAGTTTGAAAGATCGTTTTTCCTTTTTAATCAGTGATTGGATTTCGACACTTATTTTCCATATTCAGCATTGAGCTCAAGCGATCGTGATGTTACGAGTCATTCCATCTTCACATGAAACTGAATCCATGCTGTGTCTACTGCTATCTAACAAAAACGGTCTTATATGCAACAGTATTTTGCAGTCAAAACTGATAATTAGTGCATTCTTGATAACAATCTTCAGCTGATCTCATCAAATACAATTTTTAGGCAAATGCAGTTGCGTTTGGATCATTTGTCTCTTCCTCTCTTACAAAGCCAAACATTGTTGGTATAATCAATGACACTTAGGCACTACACTAACGAAGAGAATATGCATACAGGCTATATGAATGGCAAGTATTCAGTGCATACGAGCAAAACATGTTTTGCACTGCAGATTGGGTACCACTGCTACTGTTAAATTGCGTGCCGTATACAGACGCAAACAAACAAGCAGACAGCTTTACTGACGACTTCTGATGTTAAAGTGGTTGTCGCCCTGAAGTTGAACTTGTGAAAAGAAATAACAGAGTCACTCTGCGACTGTTGGGAATACTGGCGATTCCTAACGAATAATATGATGTGATGTGATATGGTATTATCTGCACTTTATGATTAGTGATGATAGTCAATATCAACAGCGATATCTATCTATGAACGAATGTCTACACAATCAAGAAGGATGATGGGAAGACTGAAAGAAGAATAAGAAGAAGAAAAAGAGAAGAAGATAGTATGACGAAAATAGACGAATGAGCAAACGAATGCGTTTCTGATAAGCAGCAATTGAACTGAAAAGTATTCATGCATTATTCGTAAACTGTGTTGTGAACGATGGCGAGAAGTATGTATAGTAGATATGGTGAGGTGCTGGGTAAATCATATCATAAGATTTTGTTGATGTTGAATATTTAAACATTAGACACCGAACACAAATTGAAGAAGTGTTCACAGGAACGTGATTTTATGAAATGACTACGATTTATGAAACCGTGAAGAATGAACACGAACTAATCATAAGATTATGTTATTCAATGATATTTCTCTTATCATTATTTTATCACTTCATAATGTCATATCACTTGGATGAGAACAATTATACGTACAACCACGAACGCTTACTACACAATACGCATACATAATCATTTCACCTCTTTGAAAAGTTCTCAAATAATGCCCATCGATTATACCAATAAATACGTAACAACTTCCAGTCAGTCGTTGTCTTCCAGACATTCCTATGATTATTGTAACGTCATTATAGCATTTCGAATCGTAATCATTCATCTATCTATCTCAAAGTTGCTGTCGAATTTTGAGGTGACAAAACGAATGAAACGGTTCGAAGCAACAATTCACAATTCTATTCCATACTACACCAAGCTTTTTTAAATGCAAATATTCACGTTTGATTTTTTGTTGATTATTTGACACTTGAAAGGGGATGTAAGTTTAAAGCCATATCATTAACATTGCATGTAATTGTTGTTAGTATCACTATTCTTAAAGTTTTTAGCAATGCTCAGGATCACATACTTATATACGTATCCGTGTACCTATCTATACATCCAACCATCCATTCGTCCATTTGTGTGGTTTGTTACTCGGCTGAATCTCATTCCTCTCATCTCATCCTCTTCTTTTCTTCTAGAGCTAAATAGCTCATAACAGAAAGATTCTTCGGAGAGCTGCTTGTTTCTGAAGTAAAGAGATACATTACGGTACATTATATATTATTAATAGATCAATTAAGTTGAACTGGCCTGTCGCAACAACGGCAATTTTCAAGAATGCATAATATCTCTTCGCATAGATCAGTGATTCTCAACCTTGTTGGAGCAGTCAGCCACCTGAGCTAAGATTGCGGCCAACTCATCTCATTTTTATCACAAAGGCAGCAATATTTTATACCTGCTATCAAAAGAGTCACAATGCACAAATACATGTATTATTCATCCGTAATTTAATGTGAGATGAGTAAAGAAAAATAAAAACTGAACAGAAAAACACTTGAAAAGTTTTTTTCGACGTTTTTCTTTACCAAAGTTTCAAACATGGCACTGTGTTTCAAACTCTTTAATACGCTTTATACGAAGGCAATTTTCGTCGAATTTCATATTTCAAAGTTTTGAGAGATTATTTCAGATAAATGAAAAAAAGATTTATGATGTCATGATTTCATGCTGCTGCTGGCGGTGGTGATAGTTTGATGCAAGATTAATGGTCATTCATTTCCCTCTAATATCAGCAGACACTAATACTAATAGTACTTGTTGATTATGATAATAACGATCAAATGAGTGCAATTCAAAGGAAATCGAATCAAATCAATTCAAATAATGATCAATAGAAAAAAACTGCTCAATTTGATATTATCAGCTATATGATATGAAAAGAATGGAAGTGTGGATGGAGTGAGTGTACCATTTTGTTAAGCAGTCGCAGCAGTCAGTGCATGTGATGCGTTGAAATCGAAGAAACAGCATTCTTTCTTTCATTCGTACTTATAACCATAACTTAGTAACTTTTGTATTGCTCAATGATGATGCGCCTGGCTTGATATGATACGACGTTTGCTTAGTCACTCTCATAGTCGTTCGTCGATTCCAGGACGAAGCACGTTGAGATAAAAAGATGGATAGTTGCAAAAAAATGACTATTCAGATTCACTTTTTTAAATTCATATTATTGTTTTGCATTTGATACTATTTGATTTATGCAGAATTGATAGTTAACTAATCTATGACGTACATTCAATTCGTTTGAATGAACTGAATATAGTTTGAGTAATTGGTGATCATTAAGCAATTTGACTGATTAGCATTGAATGCACGTTTGAAGCATCATTCTTCTTCACACTTTTATCATGTTTTTTCGTCGACTGATTAATCAGAGTTTTTGAATCAAATTACTGTATCGTTATTGTTACTGTTATTCTTATTGTTGTTGCTATTATTGTTGTCATTGATTACTACCAATGTGAATAGATGGGTAGACGACTGCAGCAGCTCTGATCACGTTAGCAATAGTGGTCATACCACTGATAGTAATGAGTTGGTTAAACAGTTTTTGAATCATCGCTTTACGAAAAAATGTATCCTATGTGAATTACTATCATTATCATTACTATTATCCTTAGTATTATTATTACTATTATTATCATTATTATTAGTGTTGTTATTATTACCATTAATTATTATTAATGTTATTGTTGTCGAGCTTATCAGATGGAACAAATTTTACGAAGAATTGTGTTAGGAGGAAATCAACAGTGAACAAAAAATAATTGGTGGAAGTGTTGAACCTGATCGAAACAGGAATTTAACAATAGCTACGGTTCTTTTGGTGCTTCTGAGGATTGTTGGTCGTCAGTCACTAAATATTGTATGAGTAATACGATCATTTTAAAAGCATTGATGCTCACTCATCATGATGATGAATGCATGCATATTTGTTAGCTCTGAAAAATATGAACAAATATTAAACAATAGTCAGTAAATCAAATCATTCTTTCTCATTCTACTTCTCACGATCATCTTTTCCCTATTCCGGTAGGTTTTTCCTTTTGAGCACTTCAACACTGCATTTACAGCCACAGTATAGGTAGCAGCAGTAATAAAGAATTTTTAATGAACGGAAGCGATGTATTTGATATGCAACGAATTTGCAATTTACATTGATCAAGTACCATTCGCGTGTTTTTACAAAACTGTTTTTTAACCTCTCGAGTTAGATGGATAGATGTCCTGCCTTCTTTTCTTGCTTATTGCTAGAATCACTTGTGTAGCTGGTATCGTTTGTCGGTTCTATACAGGCTTGTTGGCATCGATCAGTAATGAAGGCACTTCAGTGCTTTCGTACATTTTCGGCTTATAAAGTCCAGTCATGCCGTTAAGTGCTTACCGAACAATGGTATTTAAAGTTGATAGTGTGAGCACATACAAACAAATGAGCAGTCTAAATTGCAATAGGCATCTGAAACAGAATTTGGAGCTGAGCGAAAAGAAGGAAGGCATACAGTTAGTTGGGTAGCTGAATGGTCAGATAATAGAAGTGAACGAATAGAATTTGCTCAAAGCAACAACATCAGCAGCTACAACATGAAAATTTCAGGTTCTCAAAATGTTTGATTTAAGTTTAACGAGAAGTTGTTTAGGAATTAATTGTGTCGCTTAAAAGTTAAGTGGGTGAACCGGTAAGAGTGTATTTTTATTATATAATAGCGGATTGATTTCATATAAATACTTATGTGAATATCATATCATTATGATAATACACAAATCTATTCAACATTTACTTATAGCATGAATGGTAATAAATGTATGTGAATTGCATATCTAGCTGTAGTATTTGCATGAGTAACTCTGAGGTTAATCGCCTCTCGGTTGGCTCGTACTAAAAATTGCATCGTAAAGGAAGTTTGATGCCTTATGATTAACGATAAAATCAAGCACCGTTTCAAGTCTATACTACTACATTCCTATTTATCCGTTATTTGTAATGCTTATTTCACGAACGAATATACTCGTGGTGGTACTCTATTATTTTCATCTACATGATAATAAAAATACATCATTCTTTGCATCTATTATTATTTAATATATTATGTATTACTTGCTAGATGAATACGTGCGGATACCTGTCTGTACATATATCTGTTTAGTAAATATTATTTAAATATGTTGATCTGTCATATAAAAAACATTATTTGATATTAAAAGCATGAAAAAGATTGACTTCAGTCGTCCAAAATTTTAAACTTTTTAGTCAGTGCAAATGCAGTTAGGGCTCCAAAAACAAATTTATCAAACTACTTATATCCTTTATTTGTTATTAGCTTCTTCATTTACTGAATTATATTCAGGTTTTGTTTTCAGTCTAGTCATGCATTACTTTCTTGTGCAAGACATTTATCCTGAATTGCTTCATAACAAGATCTAGTGATAAAATTACAATATTAATAGTGATGGTACCATTGATAAGAAATGTGTGTTCAGTTAGTGGATTGATGTGATGCCAATACAATCGGAAACACCAACAGTGCTAAAAGCGAATGAGTATGGACGAGCGTTATCGTTGCGTCTTCAAGAGCTGCGTAAAGAAGGACGTTATGTTGACTGTAAGATTCGATTGGAGACTGCAGATGGACATTTAAAAGAACTGCGTGCACATCGTAACGTTCTCGCGTCTGGTAGTAATTTTTTTAAAGAGGCTTTCAATATGAAAGAAGCAGCAACTGATGATGATGAGGAGGATGATGATAATAATGATAAGGTGAGTAATTCATTTTATCAGTTTTGTTAGTTGTTGAAATGACTGATCTTTTCAATAATTCTACTTTTCGTATTGCGTTATATTTTTCTTATACGTAATTATGTACTTAACCACTGATATTACGTGTACACTTATCAATGAATACGATTTACAAATGTCAGAAGTTTCTCGTTTTGTTTTTCAGAATAAGACAAACGAATCTGATTTAACACTGAAATTAACGAATGATGGTGCTGTTTCGTGTTTCGAATCGCTTTTAGATTTTCTGTATTGTGGTTTGTTGGACACTTCAAAGAATGATCCTGATAGTGTAAGTGTTTCTGACAGTGTCTTTTTTTTTTGATCTCAGTTCATTGTGACCTCATCATCACATCACTCTGATCATTCACATTTAAAATGAGTGCAGATATAGACTCCACCTAACAGTTCCAATCACGAGAATCATCGTTCTCGTAGATAAATAATATCACCGTGATCTCATCTTGTTCGTTTATTTTTGCCTTCATCGTTTTTCGTCTGATCTCATCTCGTTTCGAGCCGCAAAATAGTTCAAAATAGCCTAAGCCGCAAAATAGCGACATACAGAACCTTTGAAAAATTAGATCAAATCTCGTTCAAAATCCGTCTGACCGTTTCTCATCTCGTCTTATCACACTGTGATCGATTCACATTCAGTTCTCATCTCGTTTAAATTCAACATGCACCATCTCATCTCATTTTCTTCGCAGCTCTTTAAATTTGCTTTAGACCACTTCTTAGTACATACCGTTCAATATGAATGTGCTTGTATACTTCACTAAGTATCGTATTTTTGCTGTACACATTCATTTGCATCAGCCAACTGTCCATTCTATCAAGATACTTAACTAACCACCAAACGACCAATGATATTTCAGAGCCTTAAAAGTCTTATTGAATTGGCTACTTTCCCTTAAGTTAGCGATTTTATCTTGTTTATACTGCATTCGTTCGGTGAGTGGTGGTTAAGAGAAATGATTGTTACATATTCGTCCGTCATAAATGAATGCACTCAATCCTCAGCTGCAAATAACACTGATAATAATTCAATAATAAATGAAGGTAATCCGAACAAGATTCTTATCAAGGCAGCAAAATAAATATGAATGCTTTGTCACGGAACAGTTCGAGAAAACGGTTTGACGGATGTATGAATGGTCGCATAGCACGTAGCTGGTGTCTTAACTGAAAGTGGGTAGTCTGTCTTGATTGACTAAAACGATGGATGATTAATAATCCGAGAAACAAGAAGGGACGGGGTGATGTGATATTAGTCTGCAATGATTAATAAGTAATTTAAAGGAAGTGGCTTAAACGCACTTGGTTGCTGTATTGAGTTAATGTTATTATTGTGATAGTAATTGTCATTGGTGAGGATTTAATAAATGAATAAATGAGATAAACGTCTTCAATTGGTTTGATTCAGTTGATGCAAATCGCGAAACTTTATCAAGTGAAAGAAGCTGAGCAGTTATTAGAACCATATTGTTCGAACCTGCTGCCCACCTCAACTTCTACATCGTCATGCACATCAGCACCACTTTCTACACAACTACCAAGTATGTTTGAATTGCTGTAGGTATAATATGAATATAACACAAGTATGAATATCTACAAGTATTTTGTTTCATTTCGTTCATTTATTCGTTATCAAAATGATGAATATTTCGAGCGATAAATAGGTAAGTAGCTAGATAGCTGAATAAATATCAGGGTTCATTGTAGTATCGTTGAAATTGTGGCCTGTGATCCCCAAAGAGATTGCGTTGTTGGTTTCGGGATCACGAGAAATTGGAGAATAGTGGAATTTTTTAACCAAATACCTCAACATATTGGACGTACAATAGTGAGGTGTTATTCGTATTCATGGATTTGACGATCGTTAGGAAAAAGTGCTCAAGAATTGCCATTTTTTCGGATCGAACTCCTACCAATATCATTATCATATCACCACTTTTCTTCTAACAATGATAGTTCGTATGTGATCATCTATTCCAGTTTCAAATTGACTGATGTATGTTGCACGCCATGTTTATCTTATGATAATCATCCATCCGCTGATAATTGTTTCAGCTTTGCCATCCCTATTTCCACCGCAGTCGGCTACGCTTGAAGCACTTATGAATGGCTGTGGTACAAGTGCAGCAGTATCATCATCACCGTCCACTTCATTGCATGATTTGAACGCATCACAAAGTTATAACAATGCTCTTGTATGTTACATTTCAGTTGCGTTCATTTATTTATCCATTCGAACTCTTCATATACGGTGAATAGTGACCAAATTATCGCGAAAAAAATAATGCTCATCCTGACCTTCATCTTCATGTTCGATCTATCGTCGTCATATTTGAAGGTGTATTCTCGAGTCCTGCCAAATACAAGTACAAAGCGATTGATTCCGTTCGAAAATTTTTTATTTTTTGCTTTTTATATCAGTATTCATCTGAATGGAATGGGTAATAACTATAAGTTCAGGACGGACAAATTTTTTTCGATGACCTCCAATGCAATGACAAAACATGCTTAGAGATCAGTGGGTGTCAGGTTATAATCATAGCAATACAACTGTGATTCTAATTGACTATTTTTGGTGAACACCTACCAGTTAGCATGTTTTAGTTTCGGTCAGTAGCCAACTGTAGTAAGGGTGATAATAATAATTTTAGTAATAGTGATAATAATTGAAATGATTCCATTACGTGTCAGTAATGTCCATAATCACGCGATTGAATACTAATCAACTGTTCACCGAGCATATGCCATATTTATGATATGTATCGCTTGTATCTACAAGGAATATGATTTAAGGAAGTTCAAATGCAAATTGCTCGAATCGCTGCTGCACATCGTTTAGCACAACCACAGTTTTTTCCCCCGCCGGTACGTCATAAACAGAAACGTTTATTAATAACAATAGTGATGATTTTCAATGATAATAACAACGACTATAGTAATAATAAGTAAATAATGATGATGAAACAAAAACGTAAAATGATTAGTTTCAGTTATTAGCCACCATATTGCCATCGTTTTCATCGCAATTCACCTTTCCATCAACTTCATTACCAAGTCTTCTAACAACTAACTCAACTCCATCCTCTCGTTCAACACCATCTAACGGCAGTTCTAGAAAACGAAAGAAGACGGTGCTTTATTATTGTTATATTACGATTATGAATATCGTCACTGTTGTGTATAATATTTTCTTATGCGATTTATTCAATGAACTAGCCATATCCTTTAGCACAATTGACAATAATAATTTTCAGAACGTAAGTGAAAATAATCAAAATGAGTGTACAGGTACAACAGTAAAGGAACTGTCACCGTCAATCATCAATGAACCAACTGAGGAAATAAGTATTGATGAAAATTCAGATACATTCGATAATATGGGTGATATTATTGTACCGAGTAGTGATCGAGAAGGTAACATTTCTTCGCTGTCCTTATTATGACTGTTATAATGACAATAAGCGATTTGAGGATGGTGTCGCAATAAGAAGTACATAGAAAGAGTTGCGAATGGCTTCATGTGCAGTGTGTGTCATAAGGTGTACGGTCGATACAATTCCGTATCATATCACGTGACAATCTATCATCGAAATCCACCAATCAAATGCGACGAAGAGGGGTGTGAGTTCAGCACACGAGAAGCGAGATATATCCACTTTCATAAGTTTTACCGACATCGCATACCACTGCCCGACTCAATTGATCTTGGTTCTTTTTTTTGAATCCATTCTTTACTTCTTTGTCATTATTACTGTTAATTTTGCCAATACTTATCCATTTATTTTATTGTTGTTAATTTTACCATTATTATTGTCATTGAATAAGCAAGAGCATGTATAATATCTTTGAAGGCTCGAGAAAGTGTCCATTTTGTCGTCATATATCAAAAAGTCCAGCGATGTTAGATAAACATATCAGTCGCCATATGAGTGATTGTACACGCAACGGAACCCAACTGAAATGTCCTCAATGTGATATAAATTTATCAACGCAAAAAGATATGCTCGATCATATTTCAAAACAACATCAACATCAAGACTGCATTAATTTTCATTGTGATCAATGTAATTATAGGTAGTTTTTCATTTCATTTTATTCAGTCTCAGAAAGTTTTCATTATTATGAATATGACTATGATCATTGCAGTTAAAGTTAGGATTATTATTGTTGTTTACTTGGAAATTATAGTGATAATAATTTTAGAGGTCAATCGGAAATTTCACTGAAACAGCACATATCATTTAAACACTCAGCGGAAATGTTCACAAAAAAGATGACCTGTAAATTATGCCAATACGGTTGTATGGAAGAAATGAATCTTAAAGAGCATTATCAACGTATGCATCCGCAACATCAGTTCGATGATGAAAAAGATTGTACTTGCGATCATGAACAAGTAAAACTTGTATTTTGTTATTGCCCATTATTCATTAACAGTTACAGTAAGCATATGCATCATCGATCATTTTCTCATATATTGTTCATTTACTCGACAACGTAGTGATGTCTGCTTGTCTCAGTGATTGCTGGATAGAGTAAGAGGGTAGGAATAAACCCAGCCAGATATACACGGTCCTGCTAACGGAACGAATAAGCGATTGCTTGGAATAATTGCCCAAAAAACTGGTTGCAGTGAAGCTGTGACGTTACGAGATTAAATCTTCATTAAATGCATTCAGTACAAGTGTAATCGAGTGAATACGATCGGAGTATCATTATAATTAGAATAAAAACGCATTTCAGCCAACAAACGAAGTGTCGAATTCGAATTCAGAAGAAGTGCCGCGCGGTGAATCACCCGCAACGTCAACTATCGTTTCGTTATCGTGCAGCACGAAAGAGAACGGTGCTAATAGTTGTGGTGATAATACAAGTGAAGATGAAATTGAAGAGCAACATGATGAGGAAGAAGATGCTGACAAGTTAGATGCTGAGGAGCATTGTAACAACGACAGTGCAGTTGATGTGTCCATTCATTGACTAACTGCCATGTAATTAATTAATTGAGTGATTGTTTTATTTAATTAGCAACTTCAACTCATTACGAGTTTACGCCTCTCTCTTATCATTTTTCTCTAGTGCTATTGTCATTATTGTTGTTGGTTTCATTCTCATTCTCGGTTATACCATTAATTTATGAAGCTTTTCGCTTATTTATTTTTTTTTCGCAAGGAAGTGGAATTAACCCTAATCAGTTTGCGTTTCGTCATTCTGAGTCCCATCAAAATCGTATGCATTCGCTTTAGCTTTAAGAATTCCTATTCTTACCACTGTTATTATTATTATTATTATTATTATTATTATTATTACTATTACCATTGTCA